CAGGGAGCGAAGCGCAGGGCTGCAGTAACTGGGAAACACTGGGAAGGCTTAACTACAGGAAAAGGGAAGGAAAGATGGGTAGCAAACCAGTGCGATCTTGATAATTGAGAATCCGGAGGGTGAAGAGAGGGAGGGGCCTGATGCTCTTCGCTACTGTGAAGTATGTTTGACACTATTCTTAAACCATTTTTAACAACAAAAAAGAAAACGCATGCTGAAGGTCTAAATTTACATCTGAAAACGTGCCAGCAGGTAGAGAGTATAGTAGCTGGAGGCTGAGCTGGGGTCCCCGTGGGGAGGGCACTCCCCCCCCCATGCTTTGCATTTGCCACTGGGTGTTTTGTGTATTTCTTGGGAGTGAAGGGGGTGGCCCAGGACTTTTCCAATATTCAAAGGGGTGTATTGAGCCAAGGGATTAAGAACCCATGCTTTCTGGAAGCTGCAGAAGGGGGGGATGCTGGTGGGATCAGAAGGATTCTCCCCACCTGTGCACCTGGAAATATGTGTGTTCAGGGAACAGCATGAATTTTGTGAGCTCAAGGAAGTGGGTTCCTGTCGATGTCTTCCTCATGTGCTGTGTTGGGAAGCGACCATGCTGGGTGTAAGAGCACTCATATGTGCACCAGCCTGCTGGGTGTGCTCACGGCCCTGCTGAGCAACCCTGGCCTCAGAGTCCGCTATTAATATTGATGGAGCATTGGGAACTTGTAATCCTGTGAAACCCACCAGCCAGGTTAAATGGGACAGAGTTATTTTGACCCTTGAATTGAAATAGCCTGAGGCTGGTGTTTTGTAGCCTGAGGATGCCAGGTGGGGGCCCTGTGTGCTCTGAAGGGTCTCCAGGGTGTGTTTGTGGGGGGGGGGCAAGCGTCTCAAGCTGGATTGAGTTCAAGATGGGAGCATAGGTTTTAAGTGCGGTATAATTCCCCCTAAGACTTAAACATGTAGAAATCTGAGGGAACATTTGGTGGTCACGTGTTATGATGTAAAGCTGAGAGCAAGGAGGGATGCCCTGGCCTGAGAACCGATGTGCGAGGAGTTGCAGCCTTCCAAGTTTCCAGTTCTCCAAGGGGGCAGACCCCCGCCTCATCCTCCCCATCACCTCCTGCTGTAGCTCTGTTCTCCTTGGTGGGCAGACCCCTCACCCTCCCGTGTTCCCTCCTTTTCAGAGCTGGGCAGCCTGTCCCTCAAAAGGGTTCCTACTTCCCTTGCTCACCTACCCTGCGCTTGGCCCCCGGAATGGTAGGCTAGTGCTGCTCCCGGGCTGGAGACCTCCTGCCCTCGGTGCCCTCCTCTGTGCCACGGACACACCCTCTTCTACCTCTCCAGCCTTTCAGGATAGTCTCTGTACATCCCTCATAGCACTTTCTACAAATATGTTGCCAGCAGGCCGGGTCTGGGGACTGGGAGGGAGTCCTGCAGGACCAGCCAAGATAGGAATGAAATAGAGTTTATTGAAGGTGTAGAGAGAGCGCAGCTATGGACAGTGTTTGGGAGACTCAGGTAAGGAGAGAGAGTCCCATCTTTGTTTGGGATGTGGGGGGTTTTACTGAGGACTGTGGTTTGGTGTGCATGTCCTCTTAGTCATCGGGAGCTGGTTTAGGTGATATTCCTTGGAGCCAGGGGGCCTTGGCCTAGAGATGTCTCTAGAGCTGCGGGTCCAGGATACTCATTCTCACCAGGTCGGATCGTTCCTTAGATGTTATCTATTCTAAAGAAATCATTAACTCCTCGTCCCTTACGAGGGGACATAAACCATTTGCATGTGTAAAGTGGGGGTGCAGGTCCTAGCAAGAAGAGAGGCAAGAAAAGGAGCAAAAATCAGATTTTTATGGAGTCCTTCAGTTTCCTGTCTCAATACCATATCGGTTTGGAGTAGTCATGGTTTTATCTGGGTAATGCTGGACTGGGACCCTCTCATCCGTTTGGCCCTCCGTGGTGCTAGGTGCTGTTCGTCACATTCCACCCCGCCCTGACCCTCTCTGACCACGTGTCTTTGCAGGGGTGGACCTCATTGCCGCCTTCTACGGCTGTCTGTACTGCGGCTGCGTGCCCGTCACGGTGCGGCCCCCGCACCCCCAGAACCTCACCACCACGCTGCCCACTGTCAAGATGATCGTGGAGGTACGTGTGCACTGTGGACCGGCCAGGCAGGCCTGACCAGGGGCAGGTGGGGGGCCTGTGCCGTCAACACGTCACCTCTCCCAGGCCCTACGTCCCGCTCACACCTTCAACCCCCGTGCTCTGCAGGTCAGCAAGTCCGCTTGCGTCCTCACCACACAGGCCATCATGCGGCTGCTCAAGTCCAAAGACGCGGCCGCCGCCGTGGACATCAGGACCTGGCCGACCATTCTAGACACAGGTGAGGGTCCTCGGCGCCTCGGTGTGTGCACTGGCCCCCGGGACACACCACCTTTCCTTTCTTTGTTGTACGGATTGTACATTTGCCACCAGACAACAGAAGTTGGGTGGGAGCAGCTGAAATAGGTGGCGAAGGGCCGCTCGCCTCTGGGCCTCCCTCGTGGCGGGACCCCTGCAGCCGTGGGGCAGAAGCCCTTGTCGGAAGCCGGTGCGTCTGCGGACCACCCCTCCTCGTGGTACAGCAGGTGGGCCCACCGCACACACACCTCCGTCCCTCGTCCCGTCATTGGTGAATGCTGCTGTGCCCCATGAGATGCTTGTGGGCCAACAGGAAGGGCTGTACACCCCCGGACCGCTATGCCTCGAGCCTTGAGGTCAGCCTGGGGCTGAGATGCCCCAAACGAGCAGCACCCCACAGGCTTTGTGGGTGGGCTGTGGTGCACAACCATGTGACCCCCGCACCTGGCAGACATCTGCCCTTGCACCCCAGGGCAAGCGGTCAGGGACTGTGTCGTCTGGCTACCGGCCCGGTACCCGTCTACAGGCCTGGGGAGCTGGTCCAGGGCAGCCGGTGTGGGGCCAGCAGACTGGCTCCAGACAGTCCTGTTGCTTGGCCAGCTTGCGGCAACGTAGGCTCCAGCCCTTGCCTCACTTGAGTCCGCCTCGTGGTCTTACAGGAACGATGAAGCAGGGAGAGCCCTGGGAGCCTGCCCATAGCTCTCGCTGGTAGTGGTTCTGCCACAGGCTTTGTGACCTTTGGCAAGTCCTTGCTCCTCCGAGCTCTCGCACTGGTAAATGCACTTCGCCCACCGTCCCTGTCACCACGCACTCAGAGCAGTCATGGTGGGTCTGCTCCACATGACATTTTCCTGAAGGTTAAAATGAGCTTCTCCACGTATGCGTGTGCCCTGCTGTCTCCAGGCCTCCCTCCTGTTCTGCGCGGGCTCTCCCCAGGACTCCCCGGGTACGGATCATGTTTTCTTTCTCCCTTTGAGAGCCTGGAGTAGCGTTAACATTACTGGGGTCGCTGCTTCAACAGATGACATACCAAAAAAGAAGGTGGCGAACATTTTCAGGCCCCCGTCTCCAGATGTGCTCGCATACTTGGACTTCAGCGTATCAACTACGGGGATATTAGCAGGCGTGAAGGTGGGTCCTGGGGTCATAGCTCTTATTTGCTTCCGCCTCTGACGGGTGGGGAGAAAGGGTGTTGGGTGCAGGTTTACGCAGGTCCCCACTCTCGTCCACAGCTGGAAGCAACAATAGTGTTCCTTGAAGTTTGTGTTAAATACCAGTAAACCCCCGGAATCAGGTTAGCCCGAGAACTATGCATATTTTGATGTTTTATGGTAACATCTAAACTTTAGAATTTATACCTAACTTTGGGAGCAGGTGGCTTTAATGAGTCTGTCCCCTCACCAGGAGCCAAGAGCTCCATTAAATTTTTTCATATTCTGAAATCTCATTTAGAAGGTCTTTAGTGTGCCATTTCCTGTGTATTATTCGGTTTGAATGGGGATTTGAGCCAGCCATCCTTTAAGGAAGCAACTGTGTCTGGCCGCACGGTTGACAGGCACTGCTGTTCACGTTCTCTGTTCCCTCACATCACTGACCAGAACTTCCATTTTACTCCTTAAGATGTCACACGCGGCCACAAGTGCCTTGTGCCGCTCCATAAAGCTGCAGTGTGAGCTGTACCCCTCGAGGCAGATCGCCATATGCCTTGACCCCTACTGTGGCCTCGGCTTCGCCCTGTGGTGTCTGTGCAGGTGAGTGCTGCAGGTGGTGCTCAGGTGAGCGCTGCAGGTGGTGAGCAGGTGGTGAGCAGGTGGTGAGTCGGTGAGTGATGCGGGTGGTGAGCAGGTG